AATGCTACCAATCAGCTGGAAGCATCCTTCTGCTCTATGCAGATAGAAGTCGTGGGCAGGCATGGAGAAGATTGTGGGCAGGCAAGGAGAAGAAGCTATTCAAGAGCTAGTGTTTGGAGGTTTTGTATCCTGTGTTGGACAGCCTTGACTGTTGGCAGCAGGAAGGTGGGAGCAGCAGCAGGTGGCGCCCTCTAGTGTTGCTGCTGTCATACAGGCCTTCCGCATCAGGACCCTTAGGCCTGCAGGAAATCATCCAGCTTCCTTAGCCCCTTCACAGCAGCTGACATTGAAGCTTGTGGCAGGCCTTGACAGCAGGTTGTGTCATGGCTGCCAGGCCTGGAGTGTCTGAGGCCCTGGGCCTTAGAGGCTTGTCAGCTCTGGAACACCTCCAGAGACTTCAGTCTCTATACTCAGGCTCTTTATAACCCGTCCTCCTCTGCTCACAGCCCTCCATCCTCTTAGGTACTGACTTCCATCTTCCCTAGTCCTGCCCTGGCTGTCTCTCTGTCAGGCAGCCGGTTGTCTTCCACTTTTGCAGCTTGGTCTGCGACTGCTGCAGCTTGCTGCTGTTTCTTGTTGTTCCTTAAGGGAAGCTGTTCAGAGGGCCAGCAGCACAGGCTCTCCCAGCCCACTCACTGAGAGAGCCAAGAAGGATATTCAGACCAATCAGGAGACAACTCACATGTAAATTAAGATTTGTGTTTGTACCAATTGCAGCGCACTTTGCATATAAATGGAAGTGTGTGTTTTTACTAATCACTGTATTGTCCCTTTTGCACCAATCACAGCAATCCCTTAGGTAGGCCACTGGGAAAGAGCTTCTTTGTCCTTGGTGGAAGTGGTTGCAATATCATTTATGATGCCTATGATAGCAAAATAAGTTTGGAATGAACACTTCTGAACTGTCCTGGCGGAGGCCGGGTCTCCAGAAGCCAGAGCCACAGCTGTGATCCTTGTGAAATTTTTTTCAAGGCATCTGTGGTGTCTTCAGAACAGCTGGCATTAGCACAAGGGTAATCCACCAGCCATTTGTATGTCTTTTTGCTCAAGGCAACAAGAAAGAATCCAACAGCTGCCAATGAGTCAGATTGTCCATCCCCTACTGCCCTTACCTATTTATAGGAAAATGAATGCCAGGATTCTTACAATAAAAACTCAAGTAATTCTTTAACATTAATTATGACTTTAAAAGATTTTTTTAGTAGAATCATTTTTTATTCAGAAAAAAAGAAAAAAAAAACCCGAAACAATTTTTTTTCCAAACACACACAGGAGGGGCCATGGGTAAGGGGATGTATCTGTCTGTCCAGCCTCAGCCCATGTGGTTTTGTCAGCAATAAGGGAAATAGGGTAATGGCCCAAAAAATAATGGTGTGTGTGTGTGTATGGAAAGAAGGGGTGCAAAAGCTGAAGGGGGTAGTGGGGGAGGGGACAGATGAGATCAGTACTGGGAACTCCACAGGTGGGAGGCCATTTCATAAATTTCTTGTTGATCAAACCACTGTGGACACCTTCTTTGCCCATCAGCAGGACTAGCGTTTTGGCAGTCATGGTGATGTAACGTTGAAGGTGGGGGCTCCTCTGGTGCTCTTGGTACCAAGATCCACTGTACATTCCCCATCCTGCAGCAGTGAGTCCGGGATCACAGAACATTTCTGGCCCCCGATTGTCAGCCCATTCATGAAAAAACTTGACTGGTCTTTGCCTACCAGGACACCAACCTCAGCTGGCATAATGCTAACGAAGGTCTTCCTGGGGACGGCGGCCCAGACAGAGGTCTTGGCCTTGTAGCCTACAATGACCGCGTTCTGACAGGTCCCATCAGCCATGAGGCTGTGGATGTAGGCGTTCCACCTGGCCATGGCGCTGCTGCTGGGGCTGCTCTGTGGGATGCTGCTGAGGCCTCGGGCTGGGATTGGGCTGGTGGGTGGGGGTGGGGGTGGGGGAGGCAGAGAGCTCAAGGCGCGTGCTGCCATCCGGAATGAACGTGGCTCTGTTAGCTGTGCAGCAGCCCTCCACTGCCGATTTTAATAGATTTTTAACAGTGCTTAGTACCTGGCCAGTGGCCAAGAGAGTGCTAATCTCATCCTCTGTCACAATATTACTTTTAGGATGCAGGTGAGCTGGGCGTTGGTGGGGCACGCCTTTAACCCCAGCACTCGGGAGGTAGAGGCAGGTGGATCTCTGGGAGTTTGAGGCCAGCCTGGTCTACAAACTACACAGAGAAACCCTGTCTTGGAAAAAAAAAAAAAAAAAAAAAAA